TTGTTTCAGACCACGACGGTGCGCCGGCTGCGTCGACTTCTACAGTAAACAGCTTGGCACACAAGGCAAGGGCACTCCTTCCCTACAAGGCCGCCGGCTCTGTTTGTTGCTATGGGTTCTGTCTTTGACTGCGAGACGATAGTTTCAATCGCATGCTTCAAGTCGGCGCTCCTTCCGTGAGGTCCTAGGTATAGGTAAACTGGCTGATGACTAAAGAAACAAAGGTGTTTCATGAACAGGCTGAAGAATCCGAGCAGAGGCCGATGTTAAATGTCCTGCAGTGGCATGTCATGACCAGTTCGGGGAGGAATAAATCAGGCAACCCGGCAGGTTTAACCTGGCTCATCTGCGTTTCTCTATGACTCTTTATCTCCATCCTTAGTATGCCGTACTAAGGATGGAGGTAAAGAGTCATTGGGCTTGCTGGTTCATTTCATTCTGTGTCTGAAGCGCCCGGCCCAATAACCGACGGAGAAACGACGGAGATGGTCGATTTACGTAATACTGCCATGCCTGCACCAATCCGACATCTGATTATGTCGGCTTCCACTGCCGCTGTTCGCCGCGTACTTTATGTGCACATGCTACAGGGAGGCACGTGCAAGAACCGTCGGCGAGAAAGCCGACCCGGGACAGGCTGACTGTATCGCATTGAACGTCACTACCCTAAGCAGCCAAAGTCTCTCGATTTCCAAAAAAAAAACTCAAGCGCATCCGACCTAAAAAGGGTATTTCCAGATCACGATCAGTCCCGATGTGCCTAGCAGAGGAATCGAACCCCCGGATCCCCGATCACAACGATCATTAGCGCGATTGCGACCCAGGTTACCACTACCCCAGACTGTCAATTGTCTATGTCTAGGGACCTAGAGGACCACTGGGGTGGTGGCGGCAAAAAAATGGACACATTCCAGCCAGTATTAGTCTGGGCCTGAGTCGAACAGGCATCTTCTGCAGAACTTTATAAGAATACCGCAGAATGTGCAGATGGGGTCTTTCCACCACCAGGCCGGTCGCTGGTTCATCTCATTCCGCGTCTGTAGCACCAGACAATGGTGAAATGGATATTCTTACATAAACAAGATGACAAGTATGGAACTATTTTTTTTTTCTTTTCTTTTTTTTTGGAGCGTTCATAATGAAACTTAGGCAGCAGAAGCATGTAAGGTTCATCCGCTTGGGTGACTGATTTATTAACCAGTTCATGCCGGTGAGTGTGTCCAGGGGGAAATGCCGTTATGCACATTACCAAAAATTCGTGTGGGACTCCAACCTTTGTACCTTATCCTATACCTTCTGTTTGTTTCACTGGTTGCATACCCACTAAAACCCCCGAAGTGTATAACCAGTTGTCCAGCAATGAATCTTCATTCATGAGTACTGTACTATTACGACCAAGTGTTCAGCCACTGTGACCTGTGACCACCAGTGTTCGGATTTGAAGTGTTCAGCAGCGGCTGCGACCTGTGACCACAATTTTTAGTGTTCATTTTGTAAGTGTTCAGTTCATTTTGGCGGCTGCTCTCAGGGTACGGAGATTGGCTCAGCCATATCTCATAGCCCCTGTGGATCAACTGGTAGGCTGTGCTTTTTGTTTAAGCGTGGTTTCTGGTGGTCTTGAGTTCGGTTCACTCCTAAGGCTTTGCGGTGCTCAATATTCACGGGGATCTGGGAAGGAATGGTACTGCAGAGGATGTAGAGCTGGATGTCGTCGTGGGGGATCTTCCACTGGCGTTGCGGCGTACCAAGCGCGAGACGAAGAAGCCGGGGCACGACGGGGGTGAGGGGATGTGGGAAGAACATTAGATCCACGCTCTCAAGTTTAAATATCTTGTGTAGCCAGTTTGGGCTTGAATTCAGAGCTGAAAGCGATACACCGATCAACGAGGGGTGCCAGAAAGCCCCAGCACCCAGTAGCGAGGCGAAAAATTGATTTTTTAGCCCTATATGAATATAAAATGGTCAAGTGTTCAAACCTACCGGTGACCTGTGACCAAAATATAATAAGTTCAGTTCAGCGGGACCTGTGACCTGTGACTGAACTTCCGGTCGTAATAGTACAGTATTCCACTCCAAGTCCTCAACACCAACTCTTTCTGTCTAGCAGATACTCCAAAACGGCAAGAGTCAGTCAAAATACAATCGCGTCTCAATGCTTGGTTCACTACTGAAATCCATTGATTGTGGATTTGTGTTTCTGTAGGCCACTTCTCAATCTCATCATTGTTGGTATATCGCCGTTGGCAATATAGTCTCCATATCAGGTGGAAGGATACTGAGGTCAGGATGGCAAAAAGACGGGCTTTTTCTGGAATTAGTTTTCCTTGAGGGGATTTAAATTTTGTTAAGTTGCAGCCTAGTATTAGCCCCCAATTCAACCGCGGCCAGCCGTTGTATTTCTTTTCCCAGAGCTGCCTTGCCAGGGACCATATCTGTTTCTGCCCAGGTGCATAGCAATCTAAAGCTATGTGTTCCATTGAATCTGTAACAGCACATACTGGGCATAAGGCACGCACCTCCATTGTGTTGATGTTTGTCCAGTAGTCTCCAATTCGGAAGGTATTGTGCATACACTTCCAGAAAAAGTTCCTTGTCAGTCTTTGCATGGTGGCTGAACGAATTGATTCCAAAATCATTTCATCTGTGGGCAAAAAATCACAATACTCTGCCACGGAGCATCTAATGCGATCCAAGTTAATATTTGTGCTTTTCCGGATGGGTTTTGGATGTAGCGACATGATTATCTTGGTGAAGGAATGTTGTGTTCCTGTCGAAAGTAAAATTCCGGGAAGTGTAAACATTAAGTCAATTTCAGTGTCCATTATGATTGACACCGTGGGTGTTTTTGGAGAATGTACCGCTGGGTTGTCAGTCACTTTTTTCAAGAACACCCGGCCAGTGCGCTCATTTAGTTGGGCAAGCACTGCTTTGAGTTCAAATTTTGTATCCAATATGTCATTTTCAGATTTTAATCTTTCTTTCACCAGAGCTCGTGCAAGGTAGTGTGAAGATGAGCAGATCGTTAGGGAGGCATTAGTCTGAGTATTTTGCAGAGAATATAGTAGGCCTCCGAGCAGAGCTGTTGCCGGGGTGGCCTCTGGGCTTGTATCCTTAAATGAGAGCGACAAGACCTTGTGTGAGTCTTGTACTGCTGATTTCGTCAGTAGTACAACTTTGATTCCAGCGTTATATTGACTTGCACGCAGGATCTGGGCATGAAGGTAAATTGTAATAGGCTCCGGATCCGTGAACATCTTACGCCTACGTGCTGGGATCTCATTTACTGATTCCCCTGTTGAGAAAACGCGAAATCCATGGTTTATATTCTTGAGAGTAAAATCCGGATCAAAGACTACTGCTTCGTCATCCTGTAATGATTTTTGGTTCATGTGCTGTTCATCTTCCGTCAAGCCTAGCTCAGAGCATAGATCGTGGTTATCTATTGTTGGGTTCCATTTTACAAGTATGGAACTAGGTCTACCCATCACTGCCCGTCCCATCGCCTGCCTCAGCAGTTCCGGTGTGTCTATGCCGGCTAGGGGCACTCCCGCCTGTCGCACGCCGCCTGCCGCCCGTCGCCCACCGCGTCGCCCGCCGCCCGCCTCCTGTTCCGCTGCCCGCCGCCCGCCATCTGCCATCCCCCGCCCGTCTCAGTGCCCGCCTCCCGCCGCCTTTCCCGCACGCGTCCCGCCACCTTCCATCGACCGCCTTCCCGCCGTGCGTCTCCTGCCGGCTAATGCCTGCCGCCCACCGCCCGCCTCCCGCTTCTCACCTCCCGCCGCTTGCCGCCCACCGCCCACCGCCACCACTTCCGGCCTCCTCCGTCCTGTCCCGCGCCTTCCACCGCCCGTGATCCTACCATCGGGCATCAAGTGATCACATTGGTGTGACGAAGGCCGTTCCGTGGCGCGCGCTGCCAGTAATCGTGGGATAGTTGATGGAGGTTTTAGGGAGGAGCACTTTCAGAAGCGGAATAAGGGCCCTGAATTAAGTAGGAGCACCATGAGCTCCTACTTACTAAGCTCCTGAAACCGCTCTTCAAAGTTTTCCGGATCGAAAGCAGGAAATTTTTCAGAAGCGGTTTCAGGACCCTAGTGGCAATTTTGAACGACACTAATAGTTCCCAGGCAGCAAAAGCAATGTTACATGAAGGTGCATGAGTTTGTGTCGGCAGGCCCCGGAGCCGTCGGCATGCGAGCCGAGAAGGCCCGCATTGAACGCCACTACCCAGAGCAGCGAAAAGTCGCACAGCTTCCAAAAAACACCCAAGCGCATCCGACAAAAAGTCAGAAGTTAAATCCCACGGCATGTAGGCCCAGCGGGGAATCGAACCCCCTCGGATCCCTGATCACAACGAGCATGAGCACGACTGCGACCCAGATAATCACTACCCCAGTAAAGCACTGGTAAGTGTCCATGTCTAGGACCACTAGGGTGGTGGCGGCAAAAAATTAACACCAGTGTCTTCACCCTCCAGTTAGTGACCTGGGCCCGAATCGACCGGGGATCTTCTGCAGAACGAGAGACTGGCACCAGAATGGCAGGTGTTGTCTGTCCGCCACCAGGCCGGCCGGTCTATAAACAGTTTCAGGACCCTAATGGTGGCAATTTTGAACGACACTAATAGTTCCCATGCAGCAAAGCAATGTTACATGAAGGTGCATGAGTTTGTGTCGGCAGGCCCAGGAGCCGTCGGCCTGGGAGCCGAGAAGGCCCGCATTGAACGCCACTACCCAGAGCAGCGAAAAGTCGCCACAGCGACTCTCGATTTCCAAAAAACACCCAAGCGCATCCGACAAAAAAGTCAGAACCTGAAGCCCAGCATGTAGGCCCAGCGGGGAATCGAACCCCCTTGAATCCCGGATCACATCGAGCATGAGCACGACTGCGACCCAGATAATCACTACCCCAGTAAAGCACTGGTAAGTGTCCATGTCTAGGCACCTAGAGGACCACTAGGGTGGTGGCGGCAAAAAATTGATACGCCTCCCCTGTATTAGTGACCTGGGCCTGAGTCGAACAGGCGTCTTCTGCAGAACTTCAACTCCAGAACACCACAGAATGTGCAGATGTGGTCTTTCCACCACCAGGCCGGTCACTAGTTCATTTCGTTCTGTAGTACTGTACCATTTTATTCAATTCGAATGTCACGCGTCACGGGGGCCCAAATATTCGAAATTTTTCGAGCCTGTCACGGGTCATCCAGGGGATATTCGAATGTTGAAATCCAAGTCACAAAATAGCCCAGAACCGCTCCAAAAACCTAACTTTCGCATGCGCACGGCGGCTGGGGTTGAAGACATCGCGGCGGTCTCACGGCCTGCCAATTTCTGACAGGCCCCGTGAAGCTCCACCAAAGGGTTGTCCGAAAATTTGGATATTTGAGGCTGAGATATGGTGATTTCCTTGTCCCAAAATTGGATATTTGAGGCCAAAAATCCCAAACCCTTGTCCGCCAATTGGATATTTGAGGGTTGGGTCCAAGTTGGAAGCTGCAATTTTGTGCCGAGCTGGGCCGCAACTCGTCAGGGTACCCGGTTGGTAGTGCTATCTCAGCCTATCCTGGAGGTTTTAGCAGCTGCTTAGTCTCCGTGTTTTCGCCCTGTGCTTCTGCCCTGCCTTGTTTTGTCAGCCTTTATTCCCGTGAAATTTAACCCAGGAGTCCAGTGGAAAAGGCAGTAAGTTTGTGATAAACCAAAACCAAACAGGTGCCGTAGAATACTTGTAGAGACGGGGGGAAAATTGAATTCACCGCCGCAAATTTACCTTTTTGTAGACACACACGTGACCACCCTTGTCCGATTTTGGATATTTGGGGCCCGAACACCGAGAAAAAATTGGATATTTGAGGGCAAAATCAGACATTTTGGGCGGACAACCCTTTGGTGGAGCTTCACGGGGCCTTTTCTGACGTGATGGGTTGAGTTTGCTTCCGCTGACCATACTCACGCAACTCTTCCTCTTGCCGTCACCACCCGAGTCTGTGCAGTTTACTTGAATCTCACCCCCCAGAATGCAGAGCCTGACCCTGGCATCGGCGTGGTAGTCAAAATAAATCATTGATGCAATTTACCGTTTTCGGTGTTCCGCCGGCGCATCGACTCCCTGTCTCTCTTAATGTGTTCCTAAGGTCAAATTGGCATTTCCTAGTACGGCTCCTGACTATTTTTGGCGCAACTTCGAACTTTTTTTCCAGTCACGGTCTGCCGACCCCATATTCGAAAACCAAGGTTCGAACTTCCGAGTCACGGGTCACAGGTCATTCGAATTGAATAAAATGGTACAGTACTAGACGATGGAGGAATAGATGTGCACGTGCCAGTATGATATTCAAACCAGGTCTATAAACGGTTTTGTACTAGATGCACCTGCAGGAAGCGGTTATAGAATCAATATAGCGCTAGAATTCAAATTTCATAGCGGTTGGTACAGTATGAAAAATTTTCCTGCAGTCCGAATCATCCGAAACGATAGAGTGGTGGCTATTCAAATTCCCGCTACCTTTAGGTAGTGGGTTTAGGGACGAAGTATGTGAGACAACAATAAAAACCTACGATTTTGCGGTGGCTGTGCTTTGCCTTGGCGTGATGCGCTTGGTCCCAGTGACGTAGGTTCTTTATTGTTCTCTCTGACAGTGAGTGACACCGCCTTCCAGGCCTGATGCGCTTGGTCCCATCGGTTTGAGACAGGCCCCCAGTCATGATCACTGCCTACTAGGTACCTCTGTTTTTCTTCGGGAAATCTGTCACTTTTACTTGATGAAAATCGGCCGTCTGGCGCAGTTTTACTCTACAGTGTACTAGGCGCGATAAATAAATAATAAACCCCGCGCTATTTTTTCGCTTTTTTTCCGCCCTTCTGCAACGCGCGGGGCATTTTGCGCGCCTTGCGTTGCTTCTTGGCTGCACCACGGGGAGGTTCAACTTTCACATCATCGTATCGCTGATGTAGGAACCTAAGGAAGGCTTAGGAAGGCTGCACACGGCCGCGACATAGGCCGGGACGTCCCGATAGACTTCTCCATCGCAGAATCTGTCGCCGAAGAAAAATGTTATGGTCTAATTACTTCAACAGATCTAACCTGCCGATGATTTGTTGGTCAATATCGTGGCTCAGGGTGCTCTTTAAAAAAAAATCTCCGGCTCCCCAGATTTACTCTGCGGCGGACCCGCACGCATCGCTCGGAGGCAGTTTTACACTATATCCGGGACCCAAAAACACCAAATTCTGGGTCAGTTTTACTCTATTCCAGAGGTACATACCTAATAGGCAGCCTTTTCAAGAGACTAAGAGGTAGCGGGCCCTGCCGCTCGCCGGCTCTACCCGCCTTATTCACTATGTAGTAAATGCTAAATGCTTGGTCGGCGATCAGCGGCGCACGTAGGGCTAGATATTTTAATTATGTTTAACATGTACAACAACTATGATGAGTACTGCGTGAATAACGGCTTGATTTTAGACGGCTTGAAGATCGGGAGCGGGTGTGCCTCGGTGTTGAACACCACCTCTAGAGCGGACCCATCAGCGAGCGACCGCACGCGCGGATCACGCGAACGCACCATGGAGGTCCAGCACGCTCTCGGCCGCGAACGTCAGGAAGAGGTACTTCAGCGTCTCGCTCTGGCGGCGCAGCGCGTCAGCCGCGCACATGCATGCATCAGCGGGAGGGGAGGGGAGGGGCGCGCACCAGGAAGAACGTCTCCTGCTTGTCGAGGTACGTCACCGGGACCGCGTCCACGTCGAGGATGGTGGCGTACCCGCCCTCGGGGAGGCGGCAGTGGCGCTCGATGGCGGTGAACATGTTCCACGCGTGGACGCGGTACTTGGCATCGCCGGTGAGGCGCCATGCGAGGAACACGGATTCCGCGATTTCGGGGCTGCATGAGAAGTTTCAGGGGCTTGCAGAAGACGACGGCGCGACGCACCGGAGCATGTACCGCGCATCATACGGCGGCGACTGTTCACTGCAAATAGCATAGCATGCGTTGTCAGCGCGGATGCGTGAGCGGGACGCACTTGGCGTTGTTGATATACCAGTCCCGCTCGCCCGGCGGGTCGGACGGCGTGCGGAAGTTGAGCCCCTCGGGCGCGAGCCCGCTGCGCGCGCACCCATCAGCATGCGGCCGGGGAAAGCAAGCGCACGCACGTCTTGGTGTTGTGCGTGTCCATGCACGCGTCTAGGAATGCGGCGCCCGTCGCCCAGTCGCGCTGGCCCTGCGGCGTGAGCTCGTCCATGCGCGGCGGGACCGATGCGCGCGCGGCGGGATCACGCAGGTGCGCGGTCGTCGCGCCGAGCATGAGCGAGCCCGCGAGGAAGCACGCGAGGTGCTCCATCTTGGATGCGGGCTCCCAGGCGGCGGGCCTGCGTGGCGTCAGCATGGAGCGCACAGGCGAGGTATAAATGCATGCACGCGCGCCAGTCGCCGTGCCCGGGCGCTGAGAGGAGCTCTGCGATGTATGTCAGGCCGCGCGCGGGGGTCTTTTTCACGAGGTGGTCGTGGATGCCTTGCATTGCGTCTGTGTACATCTGCGGCGGGGTCAGCGCGCCGCAGTGCACGGCTGTTGCCGTCAAACCTGCAAGTATACGGGCTCTGTTCGGTTCTAAGTCGACGGTCAGCAAATCACTGGCGCCAGGTCGGGCGGCGCACAGTCTGCAGGTACTGCTTTCTGCCACGCCGTCAGCGCAGGTCGGACCAAGCATGCTCAAGAACGCACAGCAGATACTCATAGTATGAGTCGGCGCCGCTTCCCATCCGTATCGTCGAGGGTACAAATGAACCGGCGTTCATGCTGCGTGTCTTCAGCGACGCCCACGCAAGGGACAGGATAAACACACTTGAGGTTGAGCGGGGCCAGCCCTGAGGGAATGCGCGCCTTGTTGACGACCGTCATGACCTTCTCCGCCTTGTGCCAGAACTCGGCGCGGCCGGTGAGCTGTGCGAGGTAGCGGAACTCGAGCTGGAGCGTCGTCGCCTCCGCGATGCTGGTCGACGTGCCGGAGCCCGAGCGCGAAGCGAGGTTAACGGACTGCTTGGGGATTCCCGAGGAAGTGTCAAACACGGGGAGGATTCGCTCGCCCAGGTCCGTCGCGTGCTTGAGGTACAGGTCGTCATGTGTGAGGTGGTATGCGGAGAGCAGGCCACCGAGGACGCGGATGGTTGTCTGCGGGTGTTCTGACCCGCAGGTGAGGTGTATAAGCGGTCGGAACGTACCTCGAAAGTGCTGAAGTAGCCGCTGTTCCGGGCGAAAGACAGGGAGCGCTGGACCCACTGCTTGGCGCGCGCGTACTCGTCCGTGAGGCCCATCAGCAGCATGGTGTCGATGGCGTCCACGACAGTGTAGCCCATGCCGCCGCCGCCGCCGAGATCGGAGCCGCGGTGAGCAATAGGGTGGTATTCGTCGTGGCCCATCGCATCGCGTTCTAGAACGTCAGCAAGCTCGTGGCGAATTCTGGGCGACTTACCATACGCCGACCATGCGTGCTGAGAAACCATGGGTATAAAATAAAGACGGTGGCCTGGGGACGCACTTGGAAGGCCCTAACCACGGCGTCGCGCTTGATAGCATCCGCCGGCAGCGCACTGGGTCTTGTGGACGCATCTGGGCGCGGCGTGTCCTTCGGCCGAGGAGGGGGTGGATATGGTCGTTTTTTCTCTTCATTCCTCTCAGAGTCCGAATCGAGTGGGTCGTAATCCATGTCCAGCCGTGCAAATGACCCAGTCAAATACTGCAGGAGTACGTCAGACAAGAAAGGTTGTCTGCTGATAGGCTCACCAGGTGGGTTAAAAGCCCCACGACCCCCAACAGAACGAGGAACTGGATCGTTCGTCTCCGCATAATGAAAGAGAAGAAGGTGACACGTCGTGGTCGCAACAGTTTGTGATCACATCATGTGTGACTGACATGCAGTGTGACCCGATGTTCACGGAAAAGCTTAATAGCACTTGTTTTTGTTGTGGCTTTCCTAGAAGCTCGGCACATATGGTTATAGGCTTCCGTACCAAGCGAAAGCCTAGCAATTGAATACCGGCAGTATAGTGCCGAGCTTCCCGGCACATACGGCATATGTTCACTGTCTTGACAAAAAAGTCTA